GCACCTGGGCTCTCTGTACTGACCCACCTGGGGCGTGGAGGTGGGAAAAGAAAGCTCCCAAAAAAACGCCACGTGATTTCCAGCTGGAGTAAAGTTTGTTCCTATAGAAACTGCCGGCAGTTATGTAAGGAACGGCAGCTGCAGTGCAAAGGGAGCTCGTGCTCCAAAATGCAAAGTAGGTCTTGAAACCAACCAAAAAGTCACGAATAGCTGAGGGCTCCTTCGGGCTGATGCCTTGTAGTGATCGTTCCCTTTGGCCCAGGAATCTGGGACAAAACTGGAGCTTTTAGCAGGAGCTGTTTTGGAGCAGTGAGTGTGAGCTTGGATTTACCTGGCCCTTAATAAATCAGTTTATCTCTACTTTTGGCATGATATGCCATTCCTTCCTGACCCTTTCCCTAGGAATTTCGATGGATAGTCCATGTGTAGCTGCAGATATTGGAAAAATTCTCCATCCATCAAAGACTGACCCAGGACCTTCCTCTGCCTGGAGCTTTTTTGGTGGCTCCTAAAACATCCCCAACTCGAATTAAATTGGAAAACAGAGTCTAAATATTTTTAACATCCGAGTGACGAATTAAAAACATCTTAAAAAGCAGCAAAATTCTATTAACAGCATCAAAAGTCAATTTACTGATGGTAGAGCTTCCATCCTGCTGCTCTGTTTACAGGTGCACCTATCACCTAAATTCATTGCATTTTATGGAAATTCAGGCCTTCTTGCAATCTGGAATTTCTAGGATTGACTGATGCATGGTTTTGGTGAAAAAATGATGCCACAGGAAGTCCATGGATTGTGGAATTGACTGATTTTTTTTTTTAATGTATATTTTTAAGCTGTGTCACCATCAGTGTCAGTGATATCACCCAGTTCTTGTTCCTGGATCCTGATGATAGCACTGCTTGAAATTGTCCCTGTCACCATTTAATTGACTGAAGAAACAACCATCCCTTTCTGCAGCAGCAGGAAAGCCCCACCCTGCTGTTCACAGAAATTTTCATTTCCTCCACCTGCACTTCAAAGAACACGATGTGATAAAGTGATAAAGCTGCACTGAAAGCTGCTCATCTTTACTTAAAAACGCACAAAACTTGATCTTTGAGGCCACAGGGCCCTCAAATATTGGATATTTTTGGTAAACTGGAAGATTTCAAACCTTTTTTTGGCCAAAATCACAGCCAGCACCTTGGATTTTCTTGGGAAATGTGGTTGAGGCCTGCAATTATTTTGAAGGAGAAAAAAAGTACGAAGAAATCCCCCAAACGGCCTTTTTTTCTTTTAAAAGATGGGATAAAGATGAATTTTGGGGTGATGAAACTACTTGATGAGGTGTAAATGTTTATCAAACCCCTTTTGTGTGTGCTAAAGTGAGGGTTTGGCTTTAGCATCCCCTGAAAACTGCAGAAATTAGTCCAGGCTTAAATCTGGGAGTGCAGCAGGGATTGATCCCAAATCTGAGCTGGATCTGTGATCCCTGCAGCAGGAGCTGTGCTCAGCCCAGCGATTTATAGTGTTAATAACTAAATAACATCATTTAGAGCTCTTGGAGCTGATTTAGGTGAGTTTTTAGAGTTTCCTTTGGTTCCCCAAAGTCCTGGAAGTGCAGAGTAGACACTTCCACAAAGAGCAGAGGAAGCTGTTTTGCAAGAGAGGCTTGGTCACAGCTCTGAGCAGGACAAATGGAAATAAATCCTTGAGCAATTTCTTTACAGAGCAAGGAAACCACAAAGCAGAGGAAACCTCTTGGATCCCGAGTTCTTTCTTCATTTGTCTCTGCAAAAAATGAGGATTTTCAGGTTGGACTTGAGGAAACTTTTTTTCTCTGGTGAAAAGCTGAGGGTGTGAATGTCCCCTGGCAGGGATTCTCCTTCTCCAGGGACAATTCCCCACATCCATTTCCCTCAGGGGATGGTTGGATGACTCCACAGACAGTTTTGGGATCCATGGATGTATCCCTGGAAGAGCTGGCTGCTCATTTCCACTGGGAATATTTCATCAGGCTCTGAATGGTGATGCTCCCTCAATCCTGCCCATGGAAGCATCTCTCTTTTCCCTGCTCCTCCTTTTCCATGGAGCTGTGGCTTTGCAGCTACCTCCTGGTTTATTTTAAAACGCTTTCTGTGGAGTCTGTACTGCAAAAGGTTGCCTCAGGAACTCGGGCCAGAATTTGGTGTCTGAGTAAAGTGTGAGGAGTGAATCCCCTCTGGGTTTCTCAATTCAAACCACTCCAGGGTGTGAACTTGGAGCAGTGACTCATTTGGAGCAGGCTCCTCAGGCTGGGGGTTGAGAAGGGAATTGGGCCCGGGGTTTTAAAGGGAATTAGGATCCTTTTCAGTCATTTGGATTGCTCAGCAGCCCTTGGAGCATTAATGAGCAGGACTTAGATGGGGACTGGAGCTGGCAGGAGAAGTTTGGTATGTGGAGTTTATTTTGACAGTAAATGATGTAAAACAGGCTCTGGAATTGTCTCCTGGATCACTGGATGGTGCATCCTCACTTGGGAACGTCCTCAAATGCTCAGGAAAGCTGGAAATGAAAATTCCACTGAGCAAGTGATGCTTTGGAGCTCGTGGTCCTGCAGCCCCACCAGGCTGGGAGTGCATCCCAAGGGGGGCTGAGCTACCCTAAATCTTGTGCCAGGGCTGAGTGGGCATCCAGGCTCTGAAAAATGTTGGGATTCTTATCCAAATTGATGTTTCCTTCAATCCAGGAGGGATTTGTGCAAGCCCAGGGGCACAGATTTCCATCAGAGCAGAGCAAGGTTGGTGCCAGGTGACTTTGCTTCCCATGGATGTTAAAATTATCCATAAAGCTGAGACAAAAGCAGTGGCAGCACCAGGAGAGGCTGGCACTGGTGGGCACTGGAGGAAACTCCCAGTTTTCCATGAGGGAATGGGGTTTCCATTTCAGCCTGGTGGCTCTGAGGGTGCTCAGCCTCGGGGGAATTGATTTTATAACATCAGCCAGATGATTCATTTTTATTAACAATTATTAAACAATTATAAGTTTTAGTGATTTAAGGAGCTGAATGTTTATGTTGGCTTTGTCCTCAACCATGTGGGAGATAAATCCATAATTCCCTGAGCCAGGAGGGTGAGGTGCTCCCTGTCCTCAATTCGTGGTGGGGTTATCAGGGTCTGCCCAATTCTTTGGAGGGGTGATTATTCTCCCAGGCAGCTCAGCTGTGCTGATTAAAGCTGCCCTGTTGTTATTTATTTATATAAATCCATTTTCCTCAGAAAAATGTTATCCTAAACTCCATCCCAGGCGTTTTTCCCCCTTTCGTCACTGAGGCTGCTGCAGAGTCTGAGCTGGGTTTTGGGGAGGTGAAAAGCACGGAGTGAAAATCACATCTGGAGATGCCACCTGGGGCTTTTTCGAGTCAAGTCACCTTGAAAAGAGCTGTGAAACCTTGGGGAAATGCCAGCAAAAAGCCCTAAAAAGCAAAATGTGAGGCGCTGGGCACTTGCAGGGAGATTTTTAGTGGGAGATGTTTCAGTGTGAGCTGCTCCAAAGAGGGAAGTGGGAGGTTGTTTACATCTGCACCGAGCCCTTCCCGCCTCCCACAAACTCAGGGCTTTGTGAGACATTCTAAAAGACATTTCTAGAAGGCATTTGCAGGTTAAAATGCTGGTTTAGTTAAGCTGGAGGTGTGGGAAGGGGGTGTTGGATCTGACCTGACCCCACCAGGGTTTGCTGTGGCTGCAAGCGAGCACTTTGGAAAATCCAGATTTGTTCCCTGTGTGGCTCTGGAGTCCTTCCTGCCACAGAGCAGAATCCTGAGCTGCTGGGGTCACAATCTGTGCCTTGGCTCGGAATAAAACCAGCCCTGCATCCCCCAGCTCCTCTATTCCCTGAAGATTTGAAGCTTTTCCTGCAGCACCTTCTGGCTGTGCAAGGACACCCAAATCCCAGCTGGAATCTCCCCAGGGGAGAGCTCACCTCTGGTTGTATAACGTGTTTATTGTTGGGAGGAGTTCAAGAAGCCCTAAAGATTCATTTTCATTTAAATATAAACTAAGTTTATATTAAATATATAAATTAAATATATATATAATATATATATATATATAATTGCCTGTGTTGCCTGTCCCAGAAGTTGGATTTAGGAGTTGCAGCACATTCCAGCTGTGATTTCCTTGTTGTCCCAGAGCCCTCAGGGGACACTGGAGCAGCAGGAGGGTGTGACACCACCCCTGAGTCATGTTTTAGCGGGAGGTTGTGGTGGCTTGAGCTGGTCCATGTGACAAACCCACTGAGCCGATTACTCCAGGAGCTGCCCATTAATCCTTTTAGTCCTATCAAGGGCTAAATTTATCTGGAGTTTTAGTCTAACCTTGAATCTCATGGTAATCCTTCCAGCAGTCTCACGTTAGAGCCCTGGGGGTGGATCTGGGAGAGAATTCCGTGTGGAAATCACAGGAATTCTAAGGGGTTTATTCCCAGTTTTTTTGGGCATGTTTAGGTGGTGCAGAAGTTGTGGGTTTTGCTTTGGTAATAAGGGAGGCAATAAAGGGACACCGAGGTGCAGGCAAAGGTGTCTGGGAAGTGAATTCCTCAGCTCCATTAAATTTACATCATTCCCAAAGGCCACTCCTGGAGAGGGAAAAAGCAGAAAATAATGGCAGGAAAGGCCAGAAAACCTAATAAAGGCATTTTTGAAGTGAATTCCCTGGAAGAGGTGCTGGAGTTACCTGTTGGAGGTTGGATACCTGTGCTCTGGCAGGGTCCCTGATTGCATTTTCAGCACCACATCCCTCAGGATGCTCCAGGCTTTCCCTGTGAGCAGGAATTAAACTGTTAACAGAATCTCAAATACAGCACTGCTTTTTTAGGGCTTCAAAATGACACTTTCCCCCTCTTCCCCCCCTCCCACCTCCCTCTCATTAACTTGAAGCTCTGCTATTTTAGTTGTGGCAAGAAAAAGCGGGTAACTCTTCATCCTCCGGAATAATGTCTGGAAAAAGGGCTGCTGGAGGCTGTTTGATCCCTAACTCTGTGTTTTCCCAGTTTCCCATGCACTGGGACACCAGTTTGTGCTGAGAGCTGGAACTCTGCACTGGGAGCAGGGGGTTTAATTTTAAAATATTCCTAAAATATTCAGTAGGATTGAGGGTCTGGCCTGGCTGGGAGAGGGGTGGGAATTCCTGTGGATCTCTGTATCCCCTGGGGAATGCCCTGCTGGGATTCCTGGGTGCACTGAGTCGATCTGAGCTCGTTAATCTTCCCCTTGTGGGTGTTTTTTTATCCCTGGCATGATCTCCCATCCACACCTCGGAGCTGTCCTGCCTGTCCAAGCCGCATGAAAACCGGGAATCTCCATCAGAGCCGTGGAAACTGGAGTGAACTAATCATTCCTTGGGCTGGGATTGGTTCTGGGGGCCAAATGCTGGGCTTGCTGCTGCTCCCCTGGCTCAGCTGGGAGTTCCTGCCCAGCACTGAGGAGATTTGAAGATGCTGAGTGGGTTTTTGCTGTAGGGACTCTGCTGGAGCTGATTTCCAGGTTATCCTGGAAAGAAGGGGAAAAAGCAGGATCACAGACATGGCAGAGCTCTGGGGGTTGGAGATTTTTGAGTGGTTTAAATTCCTCTTTTCCTGCCTCTTCCTCTCTGAGCTGTTTGGTTTGTGTGGATGGAAGAGGGAGGCAACAGATCCCCAAGGATAATGATTGGGAACATCCTGCTGATGTGGAATTGCAGTTTCCAGCCTGGATGAGAATCCAAAGGCTTCAATCCCAGTTCACTTGGTGCAGTTTCCCTGTTCTCCAGGCAAAAAAAAAAAAAAAGGGGGGGGGTTGGATTAATGAGAAACACTTTCCTGTCTCTTCCCAGGGCCACGATGGGCGTCCTGGAATATTGGGGTGTTCATCTGCATCCGCTGTGCCGGGATCCACAGGAACCTGGGAGTTCACATATCCAGGGTCAAATCCGTCAACCTCGACCAGTGGACGCAGGAACAGATTCAGGTAGAGGCTGGGATAACACAGTAAGGGGTTTTTTTTGTTAGTGGAGCTTCATAAATTTAGAAGTAAACCAAGCCAGGATAGCCCAAAAAATGTGGGAAGTGGAGGAGGAAGAAGAATTCCAGCTGGGTTGGGTTGGAAGGGAAAATGTCCCCATTCCAGGTTTGACAAGCAGCAGAGAGTAAAGCTAAAGAAGCTGCAGGTCTCTGTTAAATTACCAATCCCTGCCTGGAGGTGCTTCCCACCTGTTCTGGAGCGTCCCAGGGATTTCCAGAGGGATTTTGGATTGCTAATGGGATATTTATCCTGCCTTGCACTGAATATTGCTTAGGATTGGCAAATGGGATGGGAGGGGATTGGAGCAGGATCCCCTGGCGTGTGGAGAGTGCCTTTCAGGAGCATCTCCCTTCCTTGATTTCTTTTCCCTGGCAGCCTGGGATGCTGTGGGAAAGCTTTTATGTCTGGGAAAGGAAAATTCCAAGGAATTTGTTTGGATTTCAGTGCGTGCAGGAGATGGGGAACGGCAAAGCCAATCGTCTCTACGAAGCCTACCTGCCCGAGAACTTCCGGAGGCCCCAGACAGACCAGCATCCTTTGTTCCCTGGAAAAACACAAAAACACGGAGCCTTTCCATCCTGGAGCTGTGTGGTTAAGCCTCCCTGGAGGAGGGCAGGGAATGGCAATGAAGGAATTGCTGCCCAGTTCTGGGGGAGGAGAGCTGGGACACCAAGGTCACCACAGGAGGCTGCTCGGGGTTTGGAACCCAGAGGGAACGGGAGGGTTGGATTTTCCAAAGTGCTGAGTGTTCCAAAGGCTCTGTGGAGACCTAATTGTGGCCTTCCAGGACCTGAAGGAGCTGCAGGAGAGATGGAGAGAGATGATTGACAAAGGACAGGATAGAAGGGTGGATTCCCACTGCCAGAGGGCAGGGATAGGTGGGATTTTGGGAAGGGATTCCTCCCTGTGAGGGTGAGGAGGGGCTGCAATGGATTTCCCAGAAAAGTTGTGGCTGCCCCATCCCTGGAAGTGTTCCCCAGGCTGGATGGAGCTTGGAGCAGCCTGGGATAGCAGAAGGAGCCCGAGGACTTTAAGGTCCCTTCCAGCTCAAACCTGGCATCCCAAAACTGGAGTCTCCAATGGAATTTTTAATGCTGCTGAAAACTTCAGCTGTAACTCCTACCTGTCAGGAATGCTGAGTAAACAGGGATAGGATGATGTGAAGATCAGAAATCCCCACAAGAGTACCTTTCCACCATCATTTTCTGAGTTAATCTGATAGCTGAGGTGCTTTTTGAGGTGCAGGCTCCTGTTGTGACCACTGTGATCTGTGCTGGTCACCTGAATGTGCTGAGAGGATGCTTGGGGCAGAAAAAAAAACCCACAAAAGCAGTGGAGAAAACACAGCAAGAGCCTAAATCCTGATTTAATTCCCTTTTTATAGCACTGAAATAACCTGGAATAACCCACAGGCAAAAACTGAGCTGGGATCCAGCAGTAAATTATTTTAAGAAAGTTACTGCTGGAAATGCTCTTTAAACAATGATTTAATTTAGTTACAGCCTGTACCTTGTTCCTCCCTGTCAAATAAGGCTTCTATTCTGGAATCCTTTGTCCTTAACCAGCTGCTGTAGAGCTGTGGAGAGTTTTATCCGGGATAAATACGAGAAGAAGAAATACATGGACAGAAGCATTGACATCAACGCCTTCAGGGTGAGTCTGGAGGTTGAAATTTGCGATTGAAACACTTCAAATGTTCCCTGTGTCAGGGGCAATCTCTTCTCCAGGGCTGCTTGCACTTCATGGCATGAATTCCTGCCCAGCACTGAGGAGATTTGAAGATGCTGATGGGTTTTGCTGTAGGGAATCTTCTGGAGATCTCCAGGTTATGCAGGAAAAAAGGACAAAAAGCAGGATCACAGACATGGCAGAGCTCTGGGGGTTGGAGTTTTTTTGAGTGGTTTAAATTCCTGTTTTCCTCCCTCTTCTTCACCCAGCTGATTGGTTTGTGTGGATGGATATCTCCAGGGATAATGATTGGAGGAGATCCTGGAAAGGTTTTATCCAGTTCCTTCCTCAGAGCAGGAAAAGTGCATAAACTTACCTTGAATTCAGCTGTTTCTGAGGGTTTTTATCTCTGAGGGATTTTAGATCAGTTACAGCACCAGGTGTGAGCTTTTTCTTGGTGTAATCAGGAACTTTCTCCCTCATGTCAGTGATTTTTCCCTCACAGAAAGAAAAGGATGGCAAAATTGTTTAAATTCCTGTTTTCTTCCCTCTTCCTCTTCCAGCTGTTTGATTTTTGTGGATGGAAGAGGAGGGAGGCAATAATTCTCCAGGAATAATGATTGGAGAAGATATTGGAAGGGTTTGATCCAATTCCTTCCTCAGAGCAGGAAAAGTGCAAAAACTTACCTCGAATTCAGCTGTTTCTGAGGGTTTTTATCTCTGAGAGATTTTAGATCAGTTACAGCACCAGGTGTGAGCTTTTTCTTGGTGTAATCAGGAACTTTCTCCCTCATGCCAGTGATTTTTTTTTTTACCCTTACAGAAAGAAAAGGATGACAAATGGAAAAGGAGCAATGAATCAGAAAGAAAACTGGAACCCATCATCTTTGAGAAGGTGAAAATGGTAAGACGAGGAAGAAAATCTTGGAGCAGTTGTGGAGACATCCCTGAGGCAGAGCAGAGAGATTCCAGCCTGCTCTGGGAGCATTTTTCTGGCCTCAGTCACACCCTGGGTGCTTTGAGTCTCTGGTGGGAGCTTGTTTTGCTCTGCTCACCAGACACTGAGCAGATGTGCAGGTTGGAATCCAGCTATTCCCTGCTGATTTTTCCAGCTCCAGCAGCTGCTTCTCCCTGGTTTAGAGCCTGCTTGGCTTTGACAACCTATTGGGACAGTAAAAAACTTGGAAATACTCACTGAAATTCTCATTTTGGAAGAGCAGAGAGAATTTTGCTTTTATTTTTGACTTAAATCCAGTGGGGAAAAAAGGGATTTTAAGGATTAATCTCATTAAAACCTCTGACGTTTCAGAGTGAACCCAAAAGCTGCACAAGTTTTGTGTTGTTTCTTTTCCCCCAGCCTCAAAAGAAAGACGAAACGCAGCAATCCAGGAAAAGTTCCCCCAAATCTGAGCCAGTCATGGACTTGCTGGGCCTGGGTAAGAGAAATTGGTATAGAAATTTTGAGAATTCGCAGAGTTTCAGTGCTAATTTTCCCTGTCAGGTGAACAATTCCAGCAATCCTGCGGGAATCTTCAGCTGGAGCTGCTCCAGTGCTGTTTGGGAAGAGTTTCCCTTTTTCCTGGAGCCTGTGGTGTTCCAGGAGGTTGGTGGCACAAACAGGACCCGGGGACACTTCCCAAACCTTGCTCTAGTCCCTTCCCAGCAGCAGGGGGGATCAGGTCACTGGCTGGGGTGGCCCTGGTGGCACAGAGGTGTCCCCAGGCTAGGGCAGTGTGGAGACACCGGGACCTCTCTGTCCCTGCAGACGCTCCGGTGACAACGCCCGTCACCAACGGCCGGCCCAGCAGCCTGGAGAAGGATCTGGACCTCTTTGCATCCGTGGGATCCAGCTCGGACTCCAGGAGGGTGAGCTGGGAATGTTGGTGCTTGGAAAAGCCTGGGTCGTAGAAGCACAGGATAATTTAGGATGGAAGTTAAAGAACACCTTGTGCTATCCCAGGGTGCTCCAGCCTGGCCTTGAACACTTCCTGGGATGGGGTATCCATCTGGGAATGCTGTGCCACTGTTTCACCACCCACATCAATTGTCTGCCCTAAATCTTGCTTCATCTGAATTTCCATTCATTAAATCCTAAAATCTCCCTCTTCCATGTTGAAGCCATCACCCCAACACATCCCTGCACGAGGATGGATAGTCCCCATCTTCCCCTCGTGCTGGATTTGGCCCTGATCCTGTCCCTTTGTCCCAGGTCGTTGGCTCCATGCCAACCTCTGGAAGCGCCGGCTCTGTTCCTGAAAACCTGAATCTCTTCCCGGAGCCTGGAGGGAAAGGGGAGGAAGTGGGGAAGAAGCAGCTCTCCAAAGACTCCATCCTGTCCCTGTACGGCTCCCAAATGTCCCAGGTGCCAGCTCAAGGTAACCCTGGCATGAGCTGGGACTGGTAGGGCACCAAGGGAGGGTGGCTGGGGTGTCCTGGGGGCTGACAAACTTCCAGGAGTGGGAATGAGGGTGGAGAATCCCAGAATGGGTTGGGTGAGAAGGGAACGTAAAGCTGATCCCATTCCAGCCATGCGCTTTCCACTGTCCCAGGTTGCTCCAAGCTCTTTCCAAGCTGGCCTTGGGCACTTCCAGGGATGGGGCAGCCACAGCTTCTCTGGGAAATCCATCCCAGCCCCTCACCAGCCTCACAGGGAAGAATTCCTTCCCAACATCCAACCCAACCCTGTCCTCTGGCACCGGGAATCCCTTCCTGCATGTCCCTGCCCAGAGTCCCTCTCCAGCTTTGTTGAGAGCTGTGAGCAGCACCAGCAGCATCTCAGTCTGGATATCCCAACCAGATTGTGACTGGAATTTTGACATTCCCAGCCCCTGAACTGATCTGTTCTTCCCTGCTCCCTCCCTGCCTTTCCCAGGAGCGATGTTCATGGCGCCGGCTCAGCTGGGCTACCCCGCTGCTCCCTACCCTGGCTTCCCTGGAGTGCCCCCTTCCAGCAGCATGATGGGGGGCATGGTGGCCCCATCCATGGGGCTGCTGGCCCAGCCCGGAGCTGCAGGCATGGTGGCACCCATGGCCATCCCAGCAGGATACGTGGGCAACGTGCTGGGCGTTCCCAACGGGATGATGGGGGCCCAGCAGCCCGGCTACGTGGCCGGAGTGGCTGCGGTGGCCCAGCCCGTGTACGGGGTGCAGCCGGCACAGCAGCTGCAGTGGAACCTCGCCCAGGTGAGCGGGACACACCTGGAGAGGCTTTTTGCAGGGATTTTCTGGTGGTGGGAGGGATGGTGGTGCAGGGATTGCCGAGGTGCGAGGGGGATCTCCAGGGGGTTCTGCTCGGTGTGGGAACGGTTCAGTTGGATTTCCCTGGTTTGGGAGCAGCTGGGAATCCCAGGATCAGTCAGGTGGGGAAAGAATTCCCACTCCAATTCCAACCTCATCTCCCAGCCCAGAGCATTGAGCCTATGGACACCTCCAGGGGTGGGGACTCCAAACATCCCTGGGCAATTCCAAGGCCTGGCCACCCTTTCCATGGAGGAATTCCTGCCGATGTCCAACCTGCCCTGAAGTTCTCCCGTGCTGGGGAGCCACACCCTGCTCCCCTTCAGGGTTCAGCTGTTCTTGGGAGCCATGGGCGGTGTCCAGGCCCATCCCTGACCTCTCTCCTGTCCCGTTTGCAGATGACCCAGCAGATGGCTGGGATGAACTTCTACGGAGCCAATGGAATGATGGGCTATGGACAGTCCATGGGAGGAGGAGGAGGAGCCCAGGGCAGCAATCCCTCCCTCAGCTCCCCGCTGTGGAAATGAGCGCTTGCTCGCACGTGACCATTTCTGCCTTTGTTCTGTTCTCCAAACCCGCTCCATGAGACATTCAGGGTTTTTGCTTTCGGGTTTGGGGACCCAGCCCAACCTGAATTTTTTTCCATCCCTGAGCTCCATCTCTGCCTTTCCACTGTCACAGCCACGGGGCCAGCTCGGTGGCCAGGCCGCGAGCGCCCTGTTCTCAGCACAGTCAATGCACTCGGGGAGGGGATCCCTCCCTGCACAAAGTTCCACCAGAGCTCCTGGGTAGCACTTCATGCCCTGCTGGGCACCTGGGTACAGGTGGGACTGGCAAATCTGGACTGCATCCCGCCCGGAAAGCCGGGATTTCTCACTTCAACTCCAGTGTTAGAATTTTTTTGTGGGGGGGAAGAGGGGTGGGGAACATCGTTTGGTGCTGAGGAACTGGATTTAAGCTGAGCCCAGGGGCAAGCAAGCCTTGCTACCTCCTTCCTCCAGCGGAGCTCTCCCTGCTCCCACCCTCCTTGGAACCAAAGTCCTTGGGAAAAGCCCTCTCCCACCCCTCCTGAGCAAGCAGGAATCTCGCCCAGAGTGGGGGCAAAGCCGATGGAATGTGAAAAACTTGCACTCCAGAGTGAATTTTCTGGCTGGTGTTGGGATTTGATGGAATTCCACTTCTAACAATCAATCTAACCAGAGTTAATTCTCTGGGGCCCAGAGCCCTGTGCAAGTTTTCTTACACTTTAAAAAATGACTCTGACATCCTAATTTATACTTTTTTCTTTTGTTTTGTTTTGTTTCATTCTTGTTGTCGTTCCTGTGTAAAATCCTGGTTCTCCCCTTTCCTGGCTCGCTTGGGACATTTTAATCTTAGGCATATTTCTTTTCTCATCTCCACTAGAACCCAAAACTGCTTCAGAAGTCAGCAAGAAGTCGGACTTGTGGTCTGCTCTCTCCTGTGGATATGTAAATTCCCAAATAAAATATTGCAGTGGACTCCTCTGGTGCTGGTGATGACTCCAGGTGTGGGGAATTTAGGGAGTTTTATCCCAAAAATCAGCCCAAGTTCCCTTTTGTTTGGGCTCTGTCCCAAATGCCAGGGAGCTGAGGGAGCACAAGGAGGCCTGGAAGAATCCAAAGCTGACACTTTTATATACAAACCCCTCAGCTCTGGGATGGGGGGGAAGGTGGAGCAGAATTCCTGCATTAAATTATTTTATTCCAGCTTTAATTCCATTATTTCATCACAGCTTTAAACTCAGATTTAACAAAATCTGGTTGAGGCTCTTCCAAAAATGTGAAGGAACAGGGAAAATCAGAGAATTGTGGAATTCCAGAATGGTTTAGGTCCCATTCCACCCCCTGGCCCTTTCCCAATGCAGGTTTGTCCAACTGGTCCTGGACACATCCAGGGGTGGAGCAGCCACAGCTTCCCTGAGAATTCCATCCCAGCCCTTCCCCACCCTCACAGGGAGGAATTTCATCCCAAAATCCCACCCAGCTCTGCCACTTCCCCCTTTTCTTGTCCCTCCATGTCCTTGGGAGAAGCTCCCTCCCCATTTTTCTTGGGAAGCTGGAGGGGATTTGGGAACCAGGGAGGTTTGGGGGTGCTTGTGGCATCTTTTATTCATTATGGGATTTCTTTTCTCACATCCAACCTGCTTTTTCCAGGGAAAAAAACAAATAAAAGAGGTTTTATCCCATTCCCCTCTTTCCCAGAGTATCCAGGAGGGGTTGTGGGATGATTGGTGGTTTTTTTTTTGGGGGGGTGGAAAACTCAACTCAAGCACAGGAAAAAGTTTTCAAGCTGGCTTTAATCATCTCCACTTGCTGCCCCAATACTGTACATGCAAAGCCAATTAAAAGGTGAATAATTCAGCTTTTCCTTCCTTTTTTTTTTTTTGTTTTTTATTTTTTATTTTTTTGGGGAAGGAAAATGTCAGGAATATTTTACAAAACAACGTGCGCCCTCAGAGCCATCGGTCCCGCAGATAGAAACCACAAAAATACAAGAGTTTGACATTTAAGAAAGGACCACACACATAGAAAACGGGACAGGACACAGGTAGAAAATTCCATTTGTTAGTTCTTTGAAATATTCCCACTTTTCTGTAGCCATCCCAAACCCATCCCCTTCTCTTGGATGTGGGACTGGGGCTCCGAGGATGCTCCAGTTCCTCCCTTCCCGGTGATTTTGGGGGAAGGTGGAGTTGAGGAATGGGAGGAATCTGTCATTAAACCAAGTTTAGCACAGATTGGGGGGATGGAGTCACTATTCCCATCCCAGCTCCCACAAGTCCTAAAACATCCAAGGAAAGTCTTCCCCTGGCTCTCCTTTCCTCCCTTTTTTCTCATTTAGTGCCAATTAACTCGTGGTTAATTAAGCTCTGACACTTCCCCACCTCTCCTGGTGACCCCTTTCCATGCAAATTTTGGGGGATTTGAGGCTGGAAAATGGGAGGGACTTTGGGGTCTTTGTGGGGTTTTGCACTTTCACCCCTGTCCCTCCTTTCAGCTTCCAAAGGTTTGGAATTCCTGGCAGAGCTCTGGGAGCATCTCTTTGCCTTTAATCCCTCATCATTTGCACCCTTTTCTTCCCTTTTATTTTTACTGGACCCAAACCCACCTGGAATCCCACAATTCCCTTTTATCCCCTCTCAAACTTTGTAGGGGGAAGCTGGGTTGAAGGATTCCTTATTATGGATAAAATCCCTCCATTTGGAACAGAAATCCAGAATTTTTGGGTGGGATAAACATTCCCAAACTTCACTTTGCCTACTCCTAAAAATCCATTGGGAGTTTCCCCCTTATTTGTATTTCCCTGGTGCTTCTCCCAACCCAAATTCCAGGAGAAATTCTCAACTCCAGAGCCACTTTTAGGTGTAAACTTGAGGGATTAATGACAGATTCCTGAGTCCTGGATCATCCTGAACATTCCAGGTGCTCTTTCCTGGGATGAATTCTGAGCTGGGGAGGAGGAAGATGATGGGATGGGGAAGATTCTCTCCTTTCATGAAAAGATCAAAGCCCTTTAAGAAAACAAGGCCACCAACTTCAAAGTGCTCTGAACATTCAGGGGCTCCCCCAGGCTTCCAGAGGCCCTCGGGATCAGGAATTCCTTTGTGATATTCCCTGTGGCAGGAAAAAATTCCCTTCGCAGCCAGAGGGAGCTGGGATCCTGTAGGGAATGGGATCAGCATTCCACAGCGTCCTCCCAAGGGAAGGTCAGCCCCTGCCTGCTCCAGAGGCTCCTTGTCTATCCAGGAGCTCTGGAGAGGGATTTGTGCCCTTCCAAGGGCTCTGGAGAGGGATTTGTGCCCTTCCAAGGGCTCTGGAGAGGGATTTGTGCCCTTCCAAGGGCTCTGGAGAGGGATTTGTGCCCTTCCAAGGGCTCTGGAGAGGGATTTGTGCCCTTCCAAGGGCTCTGGAGAGGGATTTGTGCCCTTCCAAGGGCTTTGGAGAGGGATTTGTGCCCTTCCAAAGGCTCTGGAGAGGGATTTGTGCCCCTCCAAGCACTCTGGAAAAGGTTTTGTGCCCCTCCAAGGGCTCTGGAAGGGATTTGTGCCCTTCCAAGGGCTCTGGAGAGGGATTTGTGCCCTTCCAAGGGCTCTGGAGAGGAATTTGTGCCCCTCCAAGCACTCTGGAAAAGGTTTTGTGCCCCTCCAAGGGCTCTGGAAGGGATTTGTGCCCTTCCAAGGGCTTTGGAGAGGGTTTTGTGCCCTTCCCAGGGTGGCAGCAGTGCTGGATTTTGGAATCGAGCCCCTCTCCCACCCCTGGGAGGGTTTTGGGGGGCTCAGAGCAGCCCTGGAGGCACTGTGGGACAGGAAATTTGGAAAAGGGGCACAGGGATCCCTCTGGATCATCTCTCCAACCCTGGGATCATCCCTCCAACCCTGGGATTCCCTTGCCTTGGGCTCAGATCCCAAAGGGAGCAGGGTTGGGAGCTGCCTACCCCAATCATGGATTGCTTTTCATTCCACAGGGAAAGAAATAAAAAAAAAAAACAACAAAAACCTGGATGTGGCTGAGTGCACAAGCTCGGGGTCCTAAAGGAATGGAAAAAGTGGGGAAGGGGAAGGATCCAGGGAAAAGGGAAGGATGAGGTATAGCAACAAGCGGAGCTCCAGCCAGGCACTGCAGCTCCAGGCCCTTGGGGGGAGCACCGGGATCTCCTGGATTCTCCCGGATTTCTGGAGTCCATCCCGGTGTTCCTGAGGGATGCTCAGGGCTCCCACAACACGGAGGATCCTCAGACACCCATACCAACACTTGGACACTTTTCTGAGTCTTTTTAAACCCAAAATCTTCCTCAGCTGAGCAGGATTGTCCCACTCGGTCACGGAGTGACCCCCAAAATTCCAATCCTGTTATTTGGGATGCTTTTTTTTCCCCCCCCAAAAAAAAAGTAATCCCTGCAGCTTTTGAACTCCTAAAAGTGATTTTCACACCTTTAACCAACCAGCCACGGATTGGGAGGGGTTTCTCCATGAAAAAGAAATCCTGCCCTGTCCCTGGAGGTGTCCCAGGATGGGGCTGGGAGCAGCCTCTGGGGGGCTGGAATTTGATGGATTTTAAGGTCTTTCCCACCCAAGCCAGCCTGGGATCCTGTGGAGCAGAGGGAAGACTTCCAGTTGGAACAGGTTTGCTACAAAAACATTGGAAAAGGCTGTGCTGCCCTCACCAGAGTGGGATGCAAACCCTGCTGTTCCTGCAGGGAATTCTCCAGATCCATCTGTAGCTGTGAAACCCCGAGGGAAAGCAGGGAGAGCTCTTCCCATCCATGAGGAAAAACACATTTAGGTTGGATTCAGCTTGGCCACTGTTCCTTGGTCTGCACAATTCTGTTCTTTTCCAAACCAATCCCACACCTTCCAGAGGTTCCCACATCCAGGCATTTCCCATCCATCCAGAAAGAAGCATCTGAGTCAACTGGAAGAAAAATTTTCCACCTGGAAAAAAACATTCCTGGTGCAGTTTTTTGGGGATTATTTTGTATGAGGAAAAATCATTCCTGCCCTGCTGGGGTTTGTGAGTCCAGGGGGGAATTGTGGAATCCAGGCTGGATTTCCCAAGTTGTGGTGTCAGGCAGTGAACAGAAGAGATTCCCTGGAAGCCAAGGAAATCCTGATCCCATTCCTGAGGAATTCCTGGTCTGATTGGAACCAGGAACTGCCAGCTCCTGGAGGAAAGGTTGGCAGAGCTGGGAAAGGTGGAGGGAATTTTCCCCCCCTCTCTCCAGTGCTCTGTGGCAGTAGGTTCAGGGAATTGGTGCTGTATTCCACTGGATTCCGGGAAAACTCCATCCAAACCTCCTCTCCCAGGTTTTCAGCACGCCCTGATGATGGTGAAACAGGAGCTGGATTCTGACTGATCCAGATTTCTTGGAAATTTTCACTGGATTTTGGCAAATCTGGCCCATTCCAGGCTGGTGGAAAAGCAGGGATAACTCAGGCCTGGAATCTTGGAGTGTTTTCTGTGCTTTGTGTGAATTTTGTCAGTTTTTAGGGGATGTTTCAGTATCATTCCAAGGCTTTTTTTGTCAAATCCATCCTTGTGATTACAGCTGGGGGTTTGGATTTCAGCTCTGTCAGTGTCAGGTGGGAGCTGCTCCTCTCTGCTGGGGGCTGGGTGTCAAATGGGCTGAAAAACTGATTTAATTCCATCTGAATTCCTCTTTCCAGGAAAAAATCCCCGGCAAATCCAGTGGTTTGGATTTCTTTTTTTGATAGAAAATAGAGGAAATCATAAAACTCAAAATTCCTTCCAGGGAATTTTGCAAATCACATTGCACATCAAAAGATGCCCTTTTGCGAGGAAATATTCCCCCAGAAAAACAACAAAAAAAAACAACCTTGGAGTGCAGGAATTTATCCTGGGATGGAGTTCATTTCCTCAGGAGCTGGCATGGGGCTGTTGGGGATTTCTGAGTGTCTTGGCTGTGTGTTTCTGGCTGTTTGAGGAAGCAAAACGTCTGACACGAGGTCCTGGGGGTTGAGAAATGAGGGGCTGATGTTGCAAGCCCAGTGTGGCACAATCCTGGCTCTTCCCCGAGTTTGGGCTCCCCACACCAGTTTAAGGTGGGTTGTTCCTGCTGGGAAATGTGTGGCAGCCCCCAGGGGACTGGAAGGGAAGGAGGGAATGTTTTCCTGGGGTTTGGGGCAATCCATGGTGTTTCCACTTCTCCAGAACCCTCCCATGGAGGGCTGCACTTTGTCCTTGTCACTCCCAACTCATCCTCCGTGATCCATGAGCCAAAATACTTGAGTTTTCCTCATTCCCTAGTGGAATTTCACCAGGATTTTTCCAGCAGAAAGCCAGGGATGCTCGTGTTGGCCCTGGGGAGCGCGCGGTGGCCGCGCTGTGCTGCTCATCCCCCGCCCCTGCTCCCTGTCACGGCACAGCCGTGGGATGTTGCTGGTGGGATGTTCCTGGCAGGGACGGAGCAGGGAAGCGCTGCTGGAGGAACGCGGGAATGCGGAGGGGGTGGGAAGCTGTGCCCACGCCAGGAGCAGAACGTCCCTGCTCAGCTCCCTGCTCTGCCCACACTCCTGCTCCATCTGGGACCATCCCACCACGGCACATTTGGAGGGTTTCCATCAGCATCGAGTTGGTGAAGCCAGAGGGAAGAGAGGCAGCTTGGAGGAGCGGAAAGCTTTTCCTTTTGGGACACTTTCCCCCATGGAGAGTCAAAAGCACGGGCTCAGCCAGGTTGAGCCTCGTGGAATTCTGTTTGCCGTGATTCCACTGGCCTCGTGGAATTGCTCTGCGCTTGGGAGAACATCGAGTTCTTGTTCTTTGTTGTTTGTTCCTGTCTCAGCACCCAAGGGCACCAAGTTTGTTCCCCAAACCACCGCAGGTTCAGGCCATCCCACACTCCCAGAGGTCTCCATCCAGGAACCGCAGCCCGCGCTCCAACCAGCAGAGGAGGATTTCATCTTTCATCCTTCACAGGGGTAAAAAGGATGAATTTTTCCCCATCCCAGCTCAGCAGGATCCGGCCAATTCCCTTCTTGGAATTGCCTTGGAGTTGGCAAAGTCACGGCAGCAGCTCCGAGTCCCGGTCACAATGGTGCTGAAGTTGTGGCAGTGTCGGGTGAATCGGCCACGGCACAGACGAGTCCTGCTGGCCACGGGTTTGGGGTTGTGGAACCCCAAGTGTAGGTTTGTAGATCCCAAAGTTTGAGTTTGTAGACCTGCAGATCTGGTTTGTAGACTCCCAAGTTTGGGGATTTGTGGACCCCAAGATTCAGGGTTGTGGAACTTTGGGGTTATGGGACCCCAGGTTTGGATTTCTGAACCTTCAGGTTTGGATTTATGATGCCCCAAATCTGGACTTGTGAACCCCCAAGTTTGAGGTTGTGGGCCTCCAGATTTGGGTCAGTAGAGCCCCAGATTTGGGGTTAAGGAAAACCAAGTTTGGGGTTTTGGGCCCCCAGATTTGGGGTTATACAACCCCAGATTTTGGGGATTTGTAGACCTCAAGGCTTGAATTTGTGAACCATCAGGTTTGGGTTTATGATTCCTTAGATTTGGATTTGTAGACTCCCAAGTTGAGTTTGTTGACTCTCAGGTTTGGGTTAGTGGAACCCCAGATTTGGGGTTGTGAATCCCAAGGTCTGGATTCGTGAACCCTCAGGTTTGGGTTTGTGGACCCCAGATTTGGGGTTGAGGACTCCCAGGTTTGGTTTTATGGACCACCAGGTTTGGGGTTGGGTTTGTGGAACAGCTTCATCCCAAGTCTTTTCCTTCAGGTTTGGATTTGTTCCACTGTGGCTGAGCTGGTTCTTCATTCCCGGTGCCACCAGGAGAAGCCCATGTGGGTTTGTTGTGCTCTGTGCATCATGGAATTCTGGGTTTTGCCAAGAAATAATCCTATAAAACCCCCAACAGTGCTGTGGGGTGCTTTGTGGTGAAGACTGAAGGTCAGAGCCAGCCCCATGAAATTCCCCATGAACCTCTTGTCCTCTTCCAGTCTCCTCATCTTTCGGTGTGTCGGGATTTTGTTCCTTCTCTCTTGGGAACTGATCCTTCAGGACAGTCATTGGATTTAGGAATATTTGATGAAGAAACCAAGAGTTTCTAGTGGTGTCTCCCCTGAGTAATTTCAGCAAATTTCAATAGGCACCTTCAAAAAAAGCTTCCGTAATTCCCGGGTTTGCTACAAGAACTGGATCCCTCAGAGGGAACCAAAATGCTGCTTGGAAAAAACAAACAAAACAAACAAAAAACCCCAAAAACACTCATCCCACTAAGGAACTTCCACTCCTTTGTCTGTCCCCTGAATTCCAGAGCTGCTTTTGAGATGTTCCCCTGGAAAGAACCAGGGTTGGATTCCGCTCCTGCTTGGAATTCAAGTATCCAGGAGGGTATCCCAGCTCTCCAGAAGCATCCCAACCCCAAGGAGGATGCCCCAGATCTCGAGGGGAGTGTGCTGGAGCCTGGGAAGGGAATCCCAGAGCCCGGGAAGGGAATCCCAGAGCCCAGGAAGGGAATCCCACATCTCGAGGTGGACGGCCCAGTCTGGAAGAGGAGGAGGAGATCCCAGCTCCAAGGAGAACATCTCCAGAAGGGGATCCAAGATCTTGGGAAGATCATCCCAGCCCTCAGGGAGGCTATCCCAACTCCTGAGGAGGGAATCACAGCCTTTAAGGACAGCATCCTACTCCAAGGAGGATATTCCAGACCCCAAGAAGGGTATCCCAACTCCTGAGGAGGGAATCCCAACCACAAGGAGAGCATTCCAGACCTCAAGGAGAGCATTCCAGACCTTGAGGAGAGTGTCCCAACCCTGAGCAGGGCTTTCCAGACCCCGAGGAGGGACAGCCAGACCTCAAGGAGGACATCCAAGATCTAAGGAGAGCATTCCAGACCTCAAGGAGGACATCTCAGCCCTCCAGCTGGGAAGGAGGGGGCTGGGAGGCAGCCGATCCGCCAGGATCCCGCTATTCCCGCTCCGCAGGGTCGCCTTCTCCCGCCTCCCGTGAGGCATTCCCAGAGTCTGTCCTTTGGGTCTGGTTTTGGCTGGACATGAGCACGGTCAGCAGTGAGACACGAGGAGAAGCCCAGCGGACACTGAGGGGAGGCAAGCGCCCCTTTCCCTGTCCCCTCTTGCTTTGGCAATGGTCACAGGCTACATGCTCCCGGGAAAACCAAAAAAACTGGGAAAAAAAAGGCAGGGAAATGGCCACCAAAAGTGCTGGGAAAGCGACCAAACGGGATGAAACTGGCAGATGTTCCCGGTCCATCCAGAGTTCTCTTGGATATTGCAGTGATTGTGTTGTTAGCACGTGGCAAAGCTACATAAGAGAAGATGCTACATTCCTTGGAAAACAAAAATAGTGCTGAGTTGGATTTGTTCTGAGTTCGGTGGGGTTTTCCCCTTGGAAAGCCACCTTTTCCTCAGAGGCAGGGAAAGGGAATGGGAGGAAAAAGGAACCTCGTCCTCAGCCAGACTGAGCTGCTCCCAGCAGGGTTGGGAGAGAACCTGGGAGCTTCCAGGACGAGGTCTGGGAACAGTCTGGGATTTGCTGGCAGTCGCAGCCCTCGGAGGGAATTTTCTCCTCTCCTTCCCCCCTGCCCTCACTCCCTCTCCCTTCCTGGGGAGGGCATCCAGGGCGGATTTTTTGGGGGGTGGAAGGAGATTGAAAATGAAAAACTGAAAAGGAGAAAATAAAAAGGATATTTACAGCTCTCCACGACCAGTTCTGCAAGGTCTCCTTGGATGTCTCCTTCCCAATCCCAGCCTCTATGGGCAGGAGGGGCTGGTGGAGCTCTCCAGGGAGGACTGGGAGAGGCGGCGAGTCAGGGGTCCGATGCTGGAGTCGGCCAGGGAGGAGGTTGGGAAGAGTTTGTACCAGCCTGAGACAGCACTGGAGAGATCCAGTTCCTCCAGCATGATCTGGGCCATCCCCATGAAGCACTTGTGGTCCATGCGCCCATAATCGCCCCAGACGATCACCTGCGGGCAGGGAAGGGGTGATGGAGCTGGGAATTCTGGGGAAATCATGCCCAGATGGAAAAACCCTGCTGTGGTTGGGATTGGGAAGGTCTGAAGGATGCAGGAAGGGTTCTGGAGATCCCTGGACTTGCTCCTCTCACCCTGTGAGGGTGAGGAGATCCAGACACAGGGCATTCCAGGTCCCAAAGATGGCATCCCAATCCCAAACTCAAGGAAAGCATCCCAACCTCGAGGAGAGCATCCCAACCCTAAGCAGGACATCCCAGACCCCAAGAAGGGCACCAGACCTTAAGGAGAACATCCCAGCTCCAAGGAGGGCATCCCAGCCCAGAGAAGCTGTGGCTGTCCCACCCCTGGCAGTCCAAGGAAACCTGGATGGGGCTCAGTGCCACCAGGGACAGGGGAAGGTGTCCCTGCCCACCTGCAGGACTTTGCCCTGGGGACTCTCCTCAAAGAGCAGGGGCTGCTGGTACGAGGGGTCACAGGTTTTCTTCACCACCTTGGTCTTCTTCTTGGCCAGGCAGACGCCGTTTTCCAGCAGGTAAACCTTCACATAGGTGGCTGCCATGAGAAACAGGGACATGGAGCAGAGTCCTGGGATGATCCCAGCGCGGCACCACCCCCCTCCATCCACAGCCACCTACCAGGGATGCACTTGGAGCCCATCTTTGGGATGAGTCCCCTGGCCTGGATCACGTCCACCTCTAGCTGCCCGTTGCGGTCAGCCATGCTGACGTGGACATCGCCTGCAAGGGGGTACACACCTTCAGGTGACCCGATGGTCACCTCCACCTGGGGACAGCCACAGCCCCGTGTCCCCATCACCTGTGGGAACTGGGCACCCCCGTCCTGACACCCAGCGTCCCACTGGATGCCTGATTTGTTGGGAATTAGGGGCTTGGTGGATGGTAAGGACAGCCCCCCTCCCCATCAGCTCCATCCCTGTCACTGGGATTTTATCCCTCGTGATGGAATAAGGCTGGGATTTACCCAGGCTGGGCCTTGGCTGGCTGATTCCCCAGGAAAAGGAGAGGCTAGGAGACAGGAGGGATCAGGGGCCAGGAACTTTTGGAAAACAAAAATTGTGCTCAGTTGGATTTGTTCTGAGTTCAGTGGGGTTTTCCCCTTGGAAAGCCACCTTTTCCTCAGAGGCAGGGAAAGGGAATGGGAGGAAAAAGGAACTTCATCCTCAGCCAGACTGAGCTGGGTCGGGAGAGAACCTGGGGTTCAACCACCCCCTTTCCCCCTTTCCCCCTTTTCCCCTTTTCCCCTTTTCCCCTTTTCCCCTTTTCCTCTTTCTCCTTTCCCCCTTTCCCCTTTTCCCCTTTT